TTTTATCAGAAGGAAAGCAATGCGGCCATAACACAGGTAAAAACACCACAAACCTGAGCAGATACTCTCTGCAAAGCTGCATTCTTAATCATTCAACCTGTTTTTCATCAAATAAGGACAAGATATAATCTTATTTATTTATATATACTAAAATGACAAATTATTGGTTTTGGCTAGACTAGTTTGACTGAAATGTTCTATATAATCTGATGACTAAAAAAGACTCAACAGTTTTCATTGACAAAAAGTAGACTAAAATAATTAGTTTTCTTTGACTAAAATAAGACTAAAATGCTCAGACTTTTAGTCGACTAAATCTTGACTAAAATGTTTACTGTTTTAGTCGACTAAAATAAGACTAAAATGCTCAGACTTTTAGTCGACTAAAACTTGACTAAATAAAAACAGGATGAAGGTGACTAAATATGACTAAAACTAAAAAGGAAATTTAACACAGGACTAAGACTAAAACTAAATAAAAAAATAGCTGACGAAATTAACACTACCTCACACTCGCTTGAAACGGCCCTATGATGCGACCTGCATGCAATGTTGCATATCTGAATCACTGTGATTCATAAACTTTATGTTAACACAACAGGTTGTAAAAAGAGGTCCAATTCACAATACATCTCACTATTTAAAATAGACAATAAAGCAGGTCTTACTTTGGCTCTGGCTACCTTGTTAATACCACGTTGTTGAATGTTGTCTTAGAACTTTAAACCTTGACAGTGTTTTTTTACAGTTATTAGTTATTTTATATTTGGAAGCAGGACTACGCCTTAACCCCACCTCTGATCACCAGTACTCATGGGCACTGCTGAGGTGCCCTTGAACAAGGCAGCAAACCGCTAACTGCTCCCTGTCAGGCAGTCTCTTTGCTCTGGCACAATGCATGTGCCTGTGTGCACCCTCCTGTAAACTGTGTGTAACTGTGTGTGTGTATTAAAAAAAAAGGTACCACTTTACAATAAGACCATACAATTATAAAGGGTTTATAATTAGGTTGTAAACACTTTATTAATCATTAAGAACCATTTATAAACCAGTTCTAACATACATCAACACAGGCTCACTATTTGGCAAGATGACTAAGCCTTATATTGGCTACTTAGCGAGAATCAACTCAGTGAACAACAGATACCAAGGATGCTGCCTGATGAAGAAGACGAAGTAAGCTAGGTAGCCAATATAAGACTTACACACAGATAAATGTGGGCTCACTATTTAGCAAGCAACCGGTCACAGTTGCCCTGTTTATTTCATGTCTTATAAAAGCGTATTAATGATTTATAAAGTGTTCACAACCTAATTAATAAATGAATTACAAACTATTCGTAAACCCTTTATAATTGTAAAGTGGTACCAAAAAAATATATATAAGCCAACTGAAAACTGAATTTCCCCCTATGGGGATAAATAAAGGTTCATCTTGTTCTTCAGTAAAACTACTCATACATGGCCAACACATCCTCTCTCTCCCTTACACTCATCCATTCCCAGTATACCTCATCCTTAGCCACATCCCTCCGATTCTCCACCCTTCTGCCATTCATCGGTCCAATTCCAAACCACATCCTTCCCACTCCACTAGGGTTGTTGTCCTGTTGAAATGTGAACCTTCACCCCAGTCTGAGGTCCAGAGCACTCTGGAGCAGGTTTTCATCAAGGATCTCCCTGTACATTGCTGTATTTATATTTCCCTTGATCCTGACTAGTCTCCCAGTTCCTGCTGCTGAAAGACGTCCCCACAGCATGATGCTACCACCACCATGCTTCACTGTAGAGATGGTGTTGGCCAGGTGTTGAGCGGTGCCTGGGTTCCTCCAGACATGATGCTTGGCATTCAGGCCAAATTTGGTTTCATCGGACCAGACAATTTGTTTTTTCTCATGGTCTGAGAGTCTTCTAGGTGCTCCATGTGGGGCTTTCATGTGCCTTTTGCTGAGGAGTGGCTTCCTTCTGGCCACTCTACCATAAAGGCCTGATTGTTGGAGAGCTGCACAGATGGTTGTCCTTCTGGAAGGTTATATTTCACACAGGCTCCGCCCTCTACTGGACTCTATGTGTACTACTCTCTATCATGCTGTGCGTGCTTTCACCTACTGAGTTTACGTAAACGTAGCCGGCCAATCGGGGCGAGCCTACCTGAATGCGCGCGCAGGCCCACAGTATATAAAGGCGGCTACACCCGCCGCCCACTATCCTTTTTCTCTTCAGACGAGCTGACAACCGAAGAGTTAAACGAACGAAGATTAGAAGGAAAAATGGACTCACCATTACTGGAAGCTCGGCCATTGCACCTGCCCTGGTTTGATCGCGGGCGCCGGTCTCCACCACCTCTGCTTAGAGTGTTTGGGGGATCAGGATATGGCCGAGGCGGTGCCATTCACGTCGCCATTCCAGCGGGGCGGATGGGCTCCGTTTGCCGTTGTCGGGCACTTCCGGGTCCGGTCCATGGAGGTCCACCGCCCTAGGTGATGACTCATGGTGGCGGAGCGCAGCTGCTCCCAGCGGGCAGGCAGGCTGGGCAGGGAGCTGAAAAGAGCTCTGCCACGCTGCCGCGCGACAAGGCGACTGCAAATAAACACGGGTGTGTTGGGCATCTTCGCTCATTGCTGGAGATGCCCCACCCTCACCAGATCAGAGCGATTATTTGTAGCTTGATCGTGGCCGCCGCCGTTGTCTGGCCGTGTGATATCCCGGTGAGGGATCACGCCGCATGGCACTTTCCAAAAGGACCGTGTTGTTGATCTCCCGGGCCGGGAGCCCCCGTGTTTACGGGAGGGCTCTTTGGATCGATCTCCTTGGTTACGTGGTTGAGGAGTAGTCGCAGCGTGGCTGCTTCTTGCTCATCCCCAGAGGAAATAACACTGTCCCACACTCCCCGCCCCCTCTGTAAACTCCAGTATAGGAGCCAGCAGGTGGGCGCGTGCACGTGGAATAAACCGAAGTGCTGTCAAAACACTGTGCGGGTTCAAGAGAGAGTGATGGTGTGTGTGAGAGAAACGCATTCAGTTGAAAACGATTGCCTGTATCCCAGAGTAAGAGTCATCTCTCTCCACATTTCCACTTTTCACCATAATGTCCGTTTCAAAGTGACGGCATTACCCCCAAAACACACCAGGAGCGTCTGCGCCGCGTTACGTTGCGGCTGCGCCACGCTGGGACCTCCTCATGCGACAACACACACCAGACGCGTTTCAAAACGTTGCGTAAGCGGAGCGTCGTGTGTGCAGCCTCGCAGTTGTTGTTGATTTTGGAATATTTCCTGGACATTTGTACTTCTACAAGTAAGTAGGCTATACGTAGTTAAATGGTTTATGTTTGTGTCTGTTTAAATCGTGTTTATTGTTGTTATTTCCTATTTTGTTGTGTTGTAGACTACAGACACAGTTAATAATAATTGTAATATTCCAGTTATAAACGACATGAATCAAAGATGTGTTGCTGTATTTTAGTGGTAAAAAAATATGCATTCATCATCATAATTATTCTATATATATATATCATTTACAGTGCCTGTAAACCGGAGGAGAACGCTGGCATGTATTCTCCTACTTGAAAGACTACGGGGGGATGGGGGGAGGAGTTTACCTTACGGCTGCGCCGCGGCAAAAATAGGATTCATCCTAATTTTAGAGAAGCGCTGCGCCGAGCCGCTTCTGCGACGCGTCTGAGCCGTAACGCGGCGCGTGTGGTGTAATAGCACCCATTGACTAGAGTGGCCGCGATCCTTACGATCGCCGCGGCGCGGCCGTAACGCGACGCAGACGCTCCTGGTGTGTTTTGGGGGTTACGGCCCGTCCACACAGCAGCTTTTGGCGATTTGTCCACCGCTTCCAGCGCGTCTTCGCCCATTGACTTTGAATGGGGATGACGTCACTTTCCCTCGCTTGTCGCCGAACTGCATTGTGGGGGGGCGAGGCGAAGATTTCCAGGATGTTCAGGATTCCAAAGTTGAACATTGTTCAACTTTTGAGGCTGAGCTGGAAGCGACAGCCAATCAGATCCGTTTATGCAAATCTGACAGTTCAAGCGCTAGCCAATCAAACCGCGTGCAAGCTGGGAGAACCAGACCCGCAGTTCATTTCTATATTCCACAAAAATGGAGGAGAACTTAGTTATTGCGGTAGCAAATCACCCGGTTCTTTATGACCAGTCCCTAGTTTACTTACCGGGATACAAACCGGAGGAACCAGGCATGGGGGGGAAACTGGTAGGTTTTCGCTCGTTTGGGGATTTTATATCCAGTTTACTTCGTTGCTAGTTTACTTCGTTGCTAGCAAGCATAGACAGTATCATTAGCCAGCATGGAATGTAGCATAAAATAGCACCATAAACATTAATCTCATAAATGTTAAAAAAATAAATGTTCATCATAGCCCTTCCTATTTGACAATAGTGTAGAAGAACCGGGTTTTTTTGCTTTGTATGTCGGGGGCGGGATATTCATGTGATATTCATGTGATTGGTTGTTGGTCGCGAAATCCCCAAGCTGTCAGACACGCCCAGCTCCAGGATTTTCAAGATTTGGTCAAAGCTGCTGTGTGGACACACCGTTAGGACAGAGCCGCGGCCCCACTGGAGCGTGCCGCGGTGCGTTCAAGGACCTCAGTAGAAAATCGGCCCTTTTCTGTGTCAGCCCCCATGCCAAAACTCCCTTCTTATGGAAAGGTTTGGCAGCGGAGTAGGCCACCAGAGAATACTACAGCTTCTTAGCTTTGGCTCCACAGCTGCTGGCATGTCCCCTGAACACAGTTTTGTGGGGAATGGAAGCCCCACAAAAGCTGTGTACTGACAGAGTAGAGGGGCAAGACACTGAGACTGGGTTACGGCCCGTCTACACTACAGGCGTCGAAAAAGCTTGAAGCTGGGCGTGTCTGAGGCTTGGCGCTTTCTCGCGCCCAAGGCGACCAACAACCAATCAGGAATCTCCCGCCCGCCCCCAGCATACAAAGCAAAAAAAAGCCCGGTTCTTCTACACTATTGACAAAATGGATGCCGGTTTTGTAGCAACGGTAGCGTTGGTTTATGCAATGTCTCGCAGGAGGCCACGTATAGTGCGTCGCTGTTGGGTACATACAATACTCAGAAAACGTCTGCAATGGGGGGAATACCACGTTCTTGTCCAAGAGCTCCGCCTGGATGGTGTACTGTTTCAGCAGTACTTCAGGATGAGCAAAGACGCGTTCGACGAGTTGCTCGGAAAAGTCGGTCCACTGATTGCAAAGGCAGACACCCGTATGCGTTTGTCAATCGGACCCGCCGAGCGACTCGCCATCTGCCTACGGTACGTTTTGTGTATTTCTACTTCTTTAATATGACTCTGTATATAAAGAGAGAGAATGCATGCAATGGATGAATGAAGTCTGTGATGTAGTTCAGATGAATTACATTAATTAAAGATAGCTAGGTAAACGCAGTATTGCTCCCCTGTGTGTGTGTGTGTGTGTGTGTGTGTGTGTGTGTGTGTGTTGTGTTGTGTGTGTGTGTGTGTGTGAGTGTGTGTGTGTGTGTGTGTGTGTGTTGTGTGTGTGGTGTGTGTGTGTGTGTGTGTGTGTGTGTGTGTGTGTGTGTGTGTGTGTGTGTGTGTGTGTGTGTGTGTGTGTGTGTGTGTGTGGTGTGTGGTGTGTGTGTGTGTGTGTGTGGTGTGTGTGTGTGTGTGTGTGTGTGGTATGTTGGTGTGTCTGTGGTGTGTGTGTGTCTGTGGTATGTTGGTGTGTGTGATGTGTGTGTCTGGTGTGTTTGTGTCTGCCTGTGGTGTGTCTGTGATGTGTGTGTGTCTGTGTCTGTGGTATGTTGGTGTGTCTGTGGTGTGTGTCTGTGATGTGTGTGTCTGTGGTATGTTTGTGGTGTGTGTGTCTGTGTGATGTGTCTGCCTGTGGTGTATGTGTGTGTCTGTGATGTGTGTGTGTGTCTGTGGTGTGTCTGTGATGTGTGTGTCTGTGGTGTGTGTGTCTGCGTGGCGTAAAACTTTTTTTTAAAAACAATCTTGTATATTACTTTTTTCTCAGGTACCTGGCAACCGGTGACTCGTACAGGACCATAGCATTCAGCTATCGGGTCGGGCATGCAACAGTGGCTGTCATCGTCAAGGAGGTTGCGGGTGCCATCTGGACCGCGCTGGTCGAGGAGACCATGCCGGTACCACAGACGGAGGACTGGAGAGCCATCGCTGCTGGGTTTCAGGAGCGCTGGAACTTTCCAAATTGCGTTGGTGCCATTGATGGGAAGCACGTGGTGATCCAGGCTCCGGCAAATTCTGGGTCCCTCTACTTCAACTACAAGTCCAGCCACTCCTTGGTACTGCTGGCTGTCGTGGATGCTGAGTACCTCTTCAGGGTAGTGGATGTCGGAGGTTTTGGAAGGAGCAGCAACGGTGGGAGCCTGCGGAATTCCGCTTTTGGAGAGAGCCTCAGAGATGGCAGTCTGCAGCTACCACCTGACACCGTCCATCCCAGGAGCAGAGCGGCTGGCCTTCTTCCCCATGTGTTTGTTGGAGATGAGGCTTTTCCGCTGCTGGACAACCTGCTGCGTCCGTTCCCTGGACGTCAGCTCACGCGTGAAAGGAGGCTATTCAACTACCGCCTCAGCCGGGCCAGGTTGGTGGTTTGAATGTGCGTTTGGCATCCTCTCATCTCAGTGGAGATGTTCCGGCGTGTCATCACCACCAGCCCGGAGGTAACAGAGTTGTGTGTGAAGGCCACCTGTGTGTTGCACAACTTCCTCCGCAGGAAGACATAGGAAGGTCATCACGCACACCTGTGTCCCTGTGTCGCAGAGTCGAGTGATGAAGCTCCAACCCTGCGCGATGTGCACCTATGAGGGCTCAAACAACGCCACACGCCGATCCATCCAACTGCGGGAGACCTTCTGCTCCTATTTGAATGAGGAGGGTGTAGTGTCATGGCAGCATAAAGTGGTGTAGGGTCACCATGGCTCCTCCAAACCAAAAGCTCTTTTAAGAGCTACCCATTTTCTTTAAAGAGCAAATATTCCAAATGAGCCATTTTAAAATCAAACATTCCTAATAAACATGTTTCTTGAATTGATATTATTATATCATGATATAACTAACAACCTTTTTCTTTCAGCCCTGTTTTTACTGATAAACCACTCATAATTTCAATAGGTTTTCACATGACCAATTACAGAAGAAAGCACATTATATATACGACATACATGAAGCTTCTGGTATGTTGCAACTGACAAACCACATGAACAAGTGAAGACACAGTATAGCCATAACATACTTGAAATAATGTTTTATTTGGTGAATTTGAGTGAAGTGTGTGATGAGTGATGAGTGTAAAAAAATGTAATGTGGATCAGTATGTGTGAAAAAATTATTAAATTATAAATTGTCCTGCTGGTCCACGTCAAAAATTATTTGGTGTACCCCGAGGCGGACTCTTGCCCTCTGTGCCCTTGTCATCTGCCTCATGGTGGGCAAGAGGCTCTTAAAAATTGCAAGTCCTCGTCATCTCTCCACCACTGGTGGGGTTGGCTGGGCAATTGCTGGGTAATTGCTGACAGCAGACAGCAGACTTCTTTCAAATGGGACATCTCCCTCCCCCTCCCCGTGTTTTGCCCCGGACCTCAGCATTCTCCTCCTGGCTGACTGCTGCTGGCTGGCTGGCTGACTGGCTGGTGGACTGACTGACTGACTGACTCACTGTCTACCTGGCTCTCTTCCTCTGCCACCAGGGTGGATGGAGGCAGGGTCTGCCGGGGGACATTGCTGGACGTCTCACGGTCTATGATGAATGGGGTTTAAAAACCCCATCACTGCCATAAAACGCCAGGGCTTGTACCCCCCTGCAGACCCTGCCCCGCTTCTTTTGGCCTCCTTCTCCATATTCCTTTTCCTTGCGGAACCTGTCCCTCAGACTCTTCCATCTCTTCTTGCAGACATTATCTAATAAAATGAAATGAAATAATAAAGTTAATAAATAATAAGTGAATTTCTTGAATTTACTAAATTATTCTCCATTAATGAATGCTATTTGTATGCTACATTCCATGCTGGCTAAATATACTGTCTATGCTTGATAGCTGAATCAAATCAAGTTTGATTTATATAGCACATTTATAAACGATTTTTGGTCGAGCCAAAGTGCTGTACATATAATAAAATTAGCCTACAGTAGAGACACTTTACGCAGCAAATACAACAGCACAGATTGTTCAGAATATCAGTATGAGAAAAACGACACCCTCTGCATGTATTATATGTTATATATTATGCTTATACTTATTATATTATATAATATTTGTATTAATATACATTATATGTTATGCTACATTACTAGCTGGCTAAATATACTGTCTATGCTTGATAGCTGTGCATGTATTATATGTTATGTTATATATTTGCTTATTATAATGTTTTTTTATTATTATATTAATATATATTATGTTATTATGCTACATTACTAGCTGTCCATTCAATGCTAAAACGAA